TCTAATTCTGCTTGAGAGTGAAATTCCTTGCAGGTGGGTATGAGAAACACTCAACTTTATCGGAAAATCAGAGGCGATTGCATTTTGACGGCCCTCATCCTCTTTCAACATGTAAAGGAACTCATTTGCATATTCGGATTTTCGACGAACGATCGTTCTAGCAATATTTTTACTTTGCACTAAACTGGAAATTCGCATTTTTTTGAAGAACAAGCACTTACAGAAAAAACAACCGGGCTTCATGCAGGAAACTGATAATCATATTCCTGGAGGTCCACGCTGTCCTATATTGCAATGCCTTCATTCTAATCGACATCCTTTCTGCTGAATGCTGAAAGAGGCCAGAAAATGGCTAATATGAGTCAAATGTCAGGCTGCAAAGCAGAGATCATTCCTGCTAATAGCGATCAGCGAGTTTAGTGCAAAAACACATTACCGCACTGACAAGTCTGGTGCGTTTCAGCATGAATATTGCAATTATCACTGGACGAACTTTAGTAACTAGAGGAAAGAAAGCTGGAAGCTTCTGTATTAGCGAGTAGTGTTTTCCGCGAAAACGGATAATCACCTGACGGAAATTATTTTGTTTTTGCTTTTTTTTTTTGTAAAAACTGTACATCTGATTTTTCAGGTACGCGGTTCCGTTTGGTGGAGGCGGCGGCTACGCTTTTCCAGGTGGTGGTGGTGGTGGCTACGTTGGACGTTAAGACGTACTTATGCATCCACTTGTTTGTTATGCCTCGAAAACAAAACTCTGTTTTGGTCCTAAAATGGTGCATTATTTCATGAAACATTATTGTTGCATTTTACACAGTTTGATACACTAGTGAACAATTTTACGGTTTCATACAACGTGTCAAGATTCGTTAGACCTACCAAGCTGGGCGCTCAAACACTGTCATATCGGCTGTCTCCACACAAAACACTGAAATATCACCAAATTTTTCTCGGAACTTAAAATTTTTTTTAGAATAGATGTTTATTTGTACGTTTCTGCTTGAGCGCTTTCTTACCTTTTTCCTTTTCAGTTCTTCGTCTTCCATCGTTTTTTTCTCCTCCACCCGTTTCTCGCACTTTTTACTGAACTAAGAAATAAGTCTATCGTTTCCAAATATATTCACTGAATTGAATTCATTATCAAAAGGGGCAACAACTTCAAACCGTGGCCTCCATTATTATCTGGTTTGGGCCAGAAGGACAACCAGAACTGAATTTTGAAATTTTGAACTCCTTAACCAAGCTTACTAGAGAACTGATATTTGGCAAGCCTGATTGCCGTTTGCTACCAAGCCTAGTAGTGAGGCGCATCGGATTTGTATTTGTGAAAATGCGCTTTTTTGCTTAACTTTCTCCACGGATATTTATCGCCATGTATTATTTTTTCTGCAA